AATTTTCGCAATTTTCGCGAAAGTAAGCGGACCCTTGTCGCGGCTTGCCCTGCTAGGGAAAGAGAGTGCGGCAAGAGGTAAGGCGTTCCTTCGCGGTTCAATCTTTCTAGACTCATCGATATCTCCCAGAACTGGGACACTGCGCCTACCTCGAAGAGATTCCACGACGACGACTGTAACGAGGGTAAAAGTAACCCAGCTACCGTTTTCTGTCATTCCAAACCCCTCCCCTTGGTGCCGACTCCTTTAGAAACGGGCTTTCCTGCACAGCCTATGGCGGCTAAATCAAACGAGTTTGTTAGGAGGTGAACTCTTGGCAGCGAAAACGATAAAAAGGAAGTAACGCCGCCTTTGGAGTTGACTATGGGCTAATTGAACGTTAGCCTTAAGCGAAGTCATAATCGACCTCCCCGGTATGGCGAGGGAAATGCTGCTCGTTCTTTATCCGCTTCTCCTGTTGGTTTTACCGTTTCCTTTTACTATGAGAATTACGTGTTTGCATACGTCTACCGTGGGAACGTTCTTCGGACCGTGTGACTTCCGTTTTCCCGGCGTTGTGCAGTTTTTCAGAAAGAAGCTGACGCAGCTTTTCGCGTATTCCTTCGACCCTTCCTGCAGCATCCGCGGAAAAACTTCGCCGAAAGTACGTGTCGATCCTTCGGTGAGAAGCCAGTGCCTTTTTGTCAGGCTTTTACCGTGGGCAAGGACGTGGAGTGGGCTCGATTTGTTGTCGATTGCCAAAGTGAGAAACGAGGCGAGATGCTCGGAATTGGAAACCGGTGAAAGTGTAACCGTGGAAGCAGGTTAAGGTGCCCTGAAGGAAGCGTCTCGTTTTATTCGCCTGGGCCGAGAGGCAACGCTTTTGATTGCCATCGCCTCAAAATAGCCAGCGGGCGAATTTACATACATACTTAAAAGGGGATACCCTTACAAACGTCAAGAAATTCATGGTTCATCATTCCATTCTTATTGCATTTGGCATTAAAGGACCACCTGTTAATTTCCAAGGTACCTACAGCGGAAACAATTCAGCCTGCGGAAATGCACGTTACTTCGATCATTTCATCCCAGGTTGGAAAGTAGTTTTCGAACTTCGGGTCAAAGAAAATTTACCGCCGGAAATTTAATATGGGGAAACCTTTGTGTCGCCGCTGATGAACCGGAAGGAACTTTCCTATTTGACCGAAGAACGAGAAACGTCGATATCCGGTGGCGTCTACGTACGCGTACAAGCAATGCTCTTTACACCACGATGAGTGAAGGTCGACACTTACGAGGAGAACAGAAAGTACACTTTCTCAGAGCCTTCTCCGAGCTCCGTCCCAACAGGATTTGAGCTGATGCTATTTAGCGCAGGCTCTTCCAGCCTTGCTCCACAAAGGCTCGAAGAAATTGCACCGTAAGAAAGAGAGTACTATTCGCTCAGGTGCATTCCACACGAATACTCGGCACCTCGTCCCTGCAATTGCGTAACTGCTTAATCGATAAGTCAATACTTAGACGTCATTGTTAAGATCGTTCCTCTCCTCCTTACCGGTGCATTTTTTTTAATGATAAAAAATTCGCAACCGCGTATAATCGTAACTCGATCGCGAGTGAAAGTAGTAAGATATTTCGTAGTTTCCTCGACACGAAAAAAATAAATAAAAAAAGGAAAATCGACGATACCTTAGCGCGATCCCAAGTGAAATTCCCATGATTGAATTTCATTGAACGGAATGTCCCAGTACTCGTGAAAGTATGCAACGCGACATACGCCCGATTTCAATAGTTGCATGCTGCGAGGGGCGTCGCCCCTGCTGCACTTTCTAAATTAACATTGCAATTATAGAGTAACGGATTCATTCCACGGTTGTTTAAGTAAAAGCACGACGAGCTGTGAATTTTTCTATGTATGCCTAATTACGTTTGGTCGTAATCGCATATGCGTTGGCTGTCTCGACATTTTATGCACGGCGCGAATGCATGATCGATATGCAAACGAGACACTTCATAAAATTGCCGGTAAGCTACTATTTTTTTTTTTTTTTTTTTTCGGCGAGGAGGAACAACGATAAAAGCCACTGAAAAGTGCCATTGTGCCTGACAGAACGAAATAGAATTTTAAATATACCGACGCGACGAGCTCTTTGCGTTAGCCTCGACCCTGCACGTTCCAACGCAAATTGACACTCGCCCATGGACATTGGCACGTCTCTTTTGAACATTACATGTAAATATACGAATGAACACTTTGACGTTTACCAATGATTTAACGCTTTAACGATAACGACACGTAGGGCGTTGATTACGAGTTAGAATTATTTCCCGCGCGGTTGCGACGAATCGCTGACTCGAAATCCCTTAAATTTTCGCGATCGATGCTTTGCTATTTTAATTAAAGAGTAGATATAAATACAGTAGGCGAAGCTTTTTATTTAATAGGAGCCTTACCTGAAAACCAACACCTCTTGTTTGTCTTCGAAAAGGTGTCGCCACTGAAATAAGGATATCTCTCTATAGGTGTTTAATACTGATATGGACATTTATGGGAGGCTAATAAATCAACGGCGATCCGTCTCCGAGACACCCTGTATTTATTGAAATCCTTGAAAGTGATACATTATTTTAACGCTAAATATTTTACAGATCCACGAAGAAAAGGCAATATTTCAGCAACATCCTGGACACCCCCTTGCATCGAAAGTCTGCACCAAAGAGTGCATTACGTATAACGCAGTCACTTAGAGTTCAATGCAGACTTTACGACGCAATATCCACCGCAATATTTCATATTTGTCGTTCCTTGTCCACCCCTCAATTCCGGTCTATCCAGATACGCGAAGACAATAAAGTACGCTATTATCGAAGGGTATACGTAAAGGAGACAAGCTTTCACGTTTCGTTAAAGACCATTAGGGCGAGTGAATGAGATCGGCGTAGCTCGGTTTTATGGAGACGATTCGGTGTTCAGGGCCAATATAAATTAGAGGAAAAGGCCGGGCCAGAGGGTGTCGAGAAAAGGGGTAAAATGGACACCAAAGTTCGAGGAAGGGAAATTCGGGCGGTTTTCATGTGACCGATTTTTCGAAGGTGCACACCCTGCATGTACCTTCCGCCATTCAACTCCAAGGATCGGCACCGAAACGATTTTGGATTTGGAACGCGATAGAAATGACTTTTGTAAATGTTAGTCATCCCCAAAACAGATTACGCTAGTCCCACTCTGCCCCATTAATTTCCGCAAATATTCCCATAAAGATTCAATTCTATTATAACAACACACTGAGCGAACAAGTTTCGTTACAGCCCGCCTTGCTGTCCCTGTAATCGACACGCACTCAGCACACATATAAACTTTATATCGATTTCATTAATAGTAAATCGTTAAATCTTCATTGTCCAAGCTAGAACGCTCACCATACGTACATACGCGTGTACGTACATGCAGGTACGTAAACGCGAGCGCAATTATAATTGTGCACCTGCACGTACACGAATGATACATATGTACATGTATGCACAATTCATACGCATTAATATATACACCTAGCCCCGCTTCAACTTATTCTAGGCAAGTACAGTCGATTCTCGATTATGTTCTCAGGTAAACTGTAAATAATGTACGCGGCTTGCCGTACGAATAAGTTAAACCGACACACTCCGTATGCATACCCATACGTATGACGATAAAAATATTCAATTACTTATTCCTTCACTTTCTCCCGTATTTCACTCAGTACATGCATCGCTTCTTGAAAACTTGGTACGACCGAGGGCCTTATCGAAACTTCACCAATTACAAGGTACCACAATTCGGTCGCATTTTTAATAAAAACCGTTCCTGCATTCGGTGCGATTAGTCTAGTTAATCTTTCGGCATTCCTCCCGAACACGGTCCCTTCTATATTCGTGATAATTTCGCTTTCTTATTCTAGAAGAGCGTGTGGACGATCACTTGCATATCTTTGGAGAATATCAAACACAGCCATAGAACGTAAATTAATATTCTACTATTCTGGATACAGGAAGTCTGTAAAACTTATGGCCTGTTGATACTATGACGCATCGGCTATCTTACAAATCACTTCACTTAGGGATCAATGATCAAATCACCAATATCGAAAGCACCGATCTTGATCGTTCTTTACTCGGCCCACGACTTTCTAGTCCCTAAATCTCATTTTTTACTTCTTTTTTATTCAAATTACCTAAGATTACGAAAGACGGATGAAAACTTAGTCAATAGATTCTGTCACTATTATCAAACAACTGATAATAGGAACTCGAATAAAAAGTATGTCAAGTCTCTTTCTCACTTTGTCGTGGGCCGATCGGGTCGTTTGCTTTTTTTAGGCTGCTTTGAAAACGCAGGTTTTCCTCTCTCTTAGAAAACAATTGAACCTCGGTAGAAAAATAAGAAACGATAATCTTTGGAACGCAGTATTAATATTTTTTTACCGTAGGAAATAAAAATTCTTCGTTGCTAGATCAATCTGCTTTGGACTGTTGGTCTGTTAGTTTGTAATGGAATCGTACTTTGACTATTGAACGCATGGCTGTACATTTGTCAAGCATGACTGTTTTTCGTGGATATTGTCTTGCATGGAGTTACAGTAGAATATAAGACGTCGTTAAAAAATCAGTACATTTTTTTCAATTTATAATCTATCATTGAATATTTCTCGAGTCGTGATTAGTTCTCCAGAAGTCGCAAATGTATGGTCAAACGTCAAAGAGTTCATCCATAAAAAAAGAACTTGCATCGGGACACTATTATGAATCTCTTGATTGTGCGCATGTATGAGCAATAAGATCTTTGAATATAATTAAATATTTAAATTAGTACGATTGAGATGTCAAAGCGATATGCGACTTCTGAAGTGTTGGACAGGAGTTTGTTTAAAGATCTCAGCGTCTTCGGAAATTCGCAGCGTCAAATAAATTAATCGATACTCAAAGAAGCAAATAAAATTAATGTTGAAATAAAAATTAAAAATGACTTCTCAGATAAACAACCTGTCGTGTTGAAATTAAGAACAAGCTATTCTCGTTTGAGGTATATCCACTTTCTCAATTCTTATAAGTAGATTTAATGTTTAGATGACTCGTATGTGCATTCATTAATGCACGTGGAATTCACCTGTAATGTTAAAAAAAAAGTTAACATCAGAATTTTAAAGCATTGAGGTTAATGAACATTTTTACCGGACGAATTATAATCTCAATACTTTTATATTAAAATTAGTTCCTTTCACTAGATATACAAATTGACTCAAATATTTAGGGCGTGTACGAAAATCAAACCGAAACTTTGGAGTAGTTGCGATAATAATATTCATTATAAGCTGTTTGCGTAGTTTGCAAAGTTTATCCGAGCAAGTGGGAAAGATAAACTTTTCCCGAGCATGATAAATCCTATAGACATGCTCGATCCGATATCTGATACCATAATTAACAAACCTCCAGTTATAATACTAATACCGTCTTACACACGTACCTTATTGTCTGCTAATTATTATGGCACCGACCATGACTGCTAGTAACGATAAGCAAGGAAGGTCTCCACCTGAAAAAAAAATGCTTTAAATAAATTCCATATTAAATAATAAATAAACACATTACATATTCGTTTCAGTGATCCGAATTTCTGTCGCCCTTCGTCTTTCTACATTTTTGGCCGCGCATGCACTTCCGGAGCCGCTTGTATCCGCGGTTTATTCTTTTCTCTCTCTTTCCCTAAATCGAACGGACGATCAGCTGATGCCGGAATGCGGAAGTTGGAATACCAGCAAATATTGGAAGAATAAATTTGCCATTTTGCAGCCAATTTCTGAGAGCGAACGGAATCGCTCGGGTCAATAGAGTTGCACACGCGAATGGATTTTCTTGCACGTACGTCCCGCCATGTGTAGGCTGGACTTCCTCCCGGATTTACGTTTTTTCTTCCACTTTAGCGGAATAAAAGGAAGACCATTTTATTGGAACCGAGTCGCACCTTGGTCGGTTTTTTTTGCGGCGAGGAAATCGCCGTTACCCTCTTTGATTTTCCCGATCGAAGCAAGGAAAATAGCTTATAAAAGGTACGCTGGGCGTCCCAGCGTATCGACGTCATATCGAATCCATATCCGACTTGTGTACCTGTTACCCTCATGTACAACCAATCACTATATCATCAGCCAACCAAGATCCATTTGATAACTTTTCGATTTTCGAGCCTCGCGACGTTGCTCCTTCGCTGCACATTTCCAAGGATCAAAAATGTCTCGGGGTGGAGGCGGCGAAAGGGCGGAGGAAAACCAGGCTCGGCATAATTACGGGGAAGAGTCGGTAACGTCACGTGGTACAATTGCCGCGTCTCTTTACCGAAGTCGCAAATTGGAGACGGCGGTGTCGGCGACATTAGTCCGCAAAACTGTACGCAATGAATGCCGGGGAGCGGAAAACGCGAGACGGTGTATGGAATACGCGAGAGGCATTCAGCCGGCAAATGTCAATGGGATAATTCAGAGAATCGCGGGAAAGAGAATCGCGGAGGTAGGAATAAAAGTCCACGTACCGACGACCCCCATGCTACGAGGCCCTTTCTTCGCGTAATATCCCGTAAACGTTCTTGGCCCCTGGTCGCGCATGTGCCCGAGTCTTCCCGTTTCGCTTTTGATACCGAGAAATATTCGATGAAAGAAACGCCGCGACATCGGCTCGACGTCCCTCGGCACAATCTTTCTTCTCTTTGCCTTCCTTCCAAGTTGGCGGATCCCGAGTGGAGAGCGCAGCTACGGCCTGGTATTGGAAAACTCCACATAGCAGGAAGGGACCAAATTGCTTCTAGGTCCTTCGAATTTAAACCGAGCAAAGGAATATCGGATGTATCACGCAAATGACTCGACGAATGTCTTCGTTCAAAGGAAGCTCGACGTGGCGTAATTGCGTTCCTCGGCCCCCTTGCAGCCCCTTCGTTATTGCCGCTAATCCGAGTGCAAGTGCATTTCCGCTTTGCAGGACTGCAGGAGGGAGCAATTTCTTGTGCGCTCGCACGACTGACACCGGCGATAAAATGGGCGATTCTTGTCCCTTGGGGAAACATTCCTTGTAGCGGTGATTGCTCTTACCATTGTAAACGTACTCTCGTATCGACGTGTAGTTCGCTTCCGGGATGGAGACTTCGCACTGGAAGGTGGTGGGCAGTTGCGTTTCGTTCACCTCCACGTGGGCGATGGCTTCCACGGTAAATCGACCGTCGGCGGTGTTCTGGTAGTTGTGTTCTTGCCTCTCTATCGGTTTTCTGAAACGACATTGTCTCGGATTGCCTTCTGCCTCGATCGCCGAGAGGTGTCTCCTTCGGAAAGTAATCCTGGCCCGATTAATTTCGTTCCTCCTAAGACTCGAATGACAATCCTTACAGGTATTAGGTATTACGCAGGTACTCTTCGTTTCTCGGTGGCCGAGACTAATTCAAACCTCGTGGAAAATTTTGGAGGCAGGCTTTATCCTCGCGCAAACGAAATCTTAGACGGACCAGAATGTAGAGGGGCGAGTTGACGAAACGAGACATGCAAGGAGGTGAATCTACGGACAACGTGTACTAACTGGTCCCGACGAATGGTAATCGTCGGACTTGGGTACAATTCTTCGGCCAGACACGTTAACGTCAAGTTGCCCGGACTCCCGTTTTGTCTCGGATGTGAAAATCGGAGGAGCTTTTCCGGGGCTGAAACGTGAAACAGACAGATGGATGAGATAATGCTTCTTCCACCTAGCGTTAAAAAAGACGCCGCCGACTGCCGGAGAAGAAGAATTTAACGCCCGACATTACGGCCGGATACTCGAGGAGCATATTTCTATAATAAACTATTTAAACGCAAGACCTAACCACCCTTCGGTAATTTCCTTAAAATTATTTCAATCCAAACATCGGTTGATTCCACTGAGAAAGCAGTCGAGGGTGCGGCGCGTAAACGGCTGGATTAAATAAAACCAGCGATCGATCGAAACCCGTTTATACGAGCGTCTCCAAACGGCTGCGTCCTTAAAACGCGTTATCGTCGTGAAAACTCTATTAGCGGATTAATTGTCATCGCGGAAATGCCAGGAAATTTCCTGTTAAGCTAAATTCGCCGGAGGGAAGTTCAGTTTGTGCAGTTTGTCCACCGCGTTCCCTGCCGTTTCACCCCCCGGCTATGGGGGACGGTAAATGGCACTACATCCCCTAAGGGTCGCATTGCCTTATCAAACACCGGACACCCCGCAGCAACAAATTGCACGAACGGTCATTTACACACCCAAATGGCAAACCACGTCGCGTCGCCGACGCGATCCGTTCTTCGCGCGACCACCGTTTCGCAATATTTATACACCGAGATTATGAATCCGCGGCGGTCGCATGCCTCTCGTGCTTTTCGCGGGCATTTGATATTTCATTTCCCGGATTAATTACACCGCCAACGCCGGCACGATAAAGACTTTCCTCGCGGTTCGTGTCAACTAGGACCGGTCACAGTAAGCAGCCTCATTGGCCGCACGCATGCTCGTGTGCCGCACGACTCGCATCTCGCCTTACCCTCCGCTGGACACGCAATGTCGCTTACTCCCTTGGCGATCCACCCCTCGATCCACCCTCCACCCTTTTACGACTTGCGATAATGCATTCTATTTTTCTGTCAACATATGTTGATCTTCTGCTACCGACAGAAGGGATGAGACGTTGCTAATGACGTGCGCACGCACGTCTGACCACTCGCGGATTTGAGTACTCACAGGTCTAACCACTCACAGATTTGAGTACATGTAGGTTTTACTATTCGCAGGTTTGACTACTCTCAGGTCTGACCCCCCGGCAATTTGTTCCACTTGCGCGACTCAGCGTAGAAATCATATGGAAACTTAACCATTCCGATTAGCGGCACGAGTCGAATATTCGATTAACTCGAATGACTCGAATTAAAAAATATTGTCAACTTCAATTTGGACTCGAGTTCCCGACTCGGTGAAGTGAAAGGAAACGCGACGAGTCGACCAGTGAAATAGATAACCACGACTGGAGTTAACGAACAATGGCGGTGTACCGTGAAACGAGTAATTCGTTCGTGTCGGTGACTCGAGGAACAATAAAAATAACTGGAGGTGACTCGGGTTCGACGAGTCGAAATATTCGACTGGTCGCATCTTTCGATCCAACCGATGCCAATCCGACGAGGAGAAAAGTGCTGGAACGTTGGATGAAAAGACCTGCGAGGGTACGGTAACGGCCGTCGCGGATTTTTTGCAATTCGCCGGTTGGGTGCGGCCGAGTGCGACCTACCCGGCACCGAATTAAAAGCGGAATCCGCAGCGATGGTTCCCATTAGAGGGCGTCCTTTCCCTGTTACCCTGAGTGGCAGAACGTTGTATTTCTTGTGCGCTCTCGCTCTGGCCGGCACGATACGTATTCGCTGCTCGTGGATTTCGCCGGGGGTTCCGGACCCGGGATTCTGCCGAGTGAGCCAAATTATTGTATTTCCGCTGGATGTAAGCCCCGACGGGGGATTTAGCAATTTCGCGCGCAATCGCGGTTTTCGTATTGTCCCGGGGAGCCGTGACTTACAAATGAACTTCGCGGCCGAGTGCGCCGGAACTTCCCGCCGGATTTTCGAGCACAGGTCGCCGGTGACATCCGAGATGCTCATTTTGGGAAACTGACGTGACCGCGCACGGACCGTTTAAGCGGCTTTTAAATGGACCCGACTACCTCTGGCTTTGAGGCGTCCGCTTTCGAGGCTCGCCCAAAAAATCGCTCTCTTCTTCTTGTTTCCCATACCGTTTATCGAAAAACGCTTTAAAACATTCCCGCGTCAATTCGTTGACCCGTGCAGCTGGGAAATGGGTGTTCACCCCGTGAAATTCGAGGGAAATTCGTCGCCCCCTTCCGGTACTCCGTGGAAAGCCCTGAGAACCTCCTACTTTCGAAACGACGAAGCTTTAATGCGAATGGGCAATGTTAAAAACGTCTTAAAAACGCATCGACGCGTCAAAAACCGCCCTTCCTGTCCGTTACTTTCAATGGCCCTTACTTTCCTCCGCAATGTCCGGAGTAAATTTATTTTAAACCCGCCCAACACGCGACCTGAAAGTACGTCTCCAGGAGACTGCCAGTACTCGAAGCCTGTCCAAAGTTAGGGAGAGACGGTGTAGAAAATTCAAGACCTTCGACCAGGTTATTTCCAAAGCCGAATTTCATCCTTTCCAGTCTGAAACCTACTCCAACCCATCGATATTCAGTAGTTTCCGCGTCGAATCGTTTGACAGTTGACCCGCCACGATTTTCGAAACCATGAGCAGAGAATTCCGGCAATAACGAGCTGCGATAATTATTTTTTCAACCGACTGCCGCATCGAATAGCAATCCAGCTTAGTCAGCTCGGAGCCCATTAGCAGCTCGATTTTAATCGAGTAATCGGACCGGGCACGATTACCCGATTACTTTTAATCAGCTCGGAATCGATCAGCTGGTTAAATTGGTCGACCGAGCGGAGCATTCGCGAATAACGACGGGGCGAAAGGGTGGAGGGTAGAAGAGGCACTTCGGGGCACTCGGTCACAAGGAAAATCCCCCTCCACGTGATCCATCGCCCACCTTCGAGTTTCAACCTTCGAGTTTCGAGTATTTCGCGGCTGCGCGGGGTTTTAAGCGGCCCCTCCGTCGCGGAAGGGAAGCCAATTTCGTCACGCTTTACGTCCCGAACAAGGGGAGCGATGCAACGAGCGCATTCGAAGGTGCACCAACGCTCGCCAGGGTGCCGTTTCCCTCCCCCTTATTTTTCCCTACATCGGCAAAGTTTCATCGGCGCCGCTCGTCTCCTGGGTCGCACTCGACGAAGGGGTTAGGCGTCGCTCGGCGTTCTTTTGATATGCATACCGCGTAATGCGGCGCGCGCTACCACGCGCATCGGGCAGAGGCGAGATCACGTGCGTCATACATATTCATACATAGCGGGGCAGAAGAAGATTCAAAAGAACAGGCGAAAGAAGAGGCCTGCATATTTCCTGGCCAAAAATGCATAGCGCGAATAAACGAGGTCCGGAGGGCGTCCCGATGCTCGGCGGGGGTCGCGTCCTTCCGTGGGATCCGCCCTCTTTGAAAGCGTCATCTCTCGCGGCCCGTTATTAGCGGATTGTGGCCTCGCTGAATATCCGCTAAGTGCGGTGGAACGGACGCGGGCCTATAGAAAACTCTCGCATTCACCCAGAAATAGTGGTTAGAAGCGGTTGGTTGCCATTTATGTAAAGTTCAAACACGCGGGGGGGAGAAGAAACGCGAATCGTCGAGAGTGCGGGACGAACGGTGCTCGGCTCAACTCGGGGATGAATGGCGACGCGGCGCGCCTTGTCCTAACGATCCCACGTCCCGCAACAATCCCCTTCGAATTTCCTTCGGATCTCGTTCGGCGAGGACTTGGACGACGGGAAATCGCGAGGGATCCCCCTTCGCGGCCCCTCGCTTGGTCGTTTGATTTCATGACTCGGCGGAGGCGATCTCACGGTCCAGCTCCCTTTGGCCGCCTCGGATTCCCGAAGGCGCGACGCGCCGCCACCGAAACGCGTTCCTGCATCGAGGGCCGATGCGGGGCGAGTGGCCTCTCCTCGGCACCCGGAAAGAAGCGCGATATCGGCCGCGAGGGGTCGAGAGGCGCCTAATCGAATGCCGAACGTCGATACCAATTGCCAGATGAAAAGCCGTTAGCTCGCGGAGTCGGCGCGGGAGCGCCGGCCTTTATGACGCGCTATTCGTCATCGCGCCGCGCGTAACGTATGGCCGCTGGCGCGTCGTGGTTTACGCGTGTCGGGACGCCACCCCCGTGTTCCACCCCTCGCGGACACGGCCCGATTGACGAACGCGAAATATCGCCGCGTCCCGCGGACCAAATGCCGCATTTGTCACGCACGGTTTAACCCTTCCACCCGCGAAATCCGAGGCCGCTAATTGCAGCCGGACGTCGACGCGACTTATCCTTAATCTCGAGTTTAGAGCGGTCTGGACCGCGCGATAGCGGTCGTCGGTCTGGCCCCATCCTCTGGAACCACCCTAAAGCGCCTTAGAGAAGGTCCCGAGTGCCACTTTCGCGGATTTCCCCGCATATTCAACCCGGGACGTCCATTTTTACTCCCTCGCGAACCGTACTCAGGGCGGAACAAAAGTGCCGGAACTCGTTCCCTCGCGATCGGAACATCGTAACCTGGAGACTCCCCGATCACTGCGCCGGAGTCGCCTTGTTTCGCCCAACAACGGGTTACGACGCCTTCCGAAAGGAGTAAAACTCTCGGCGGAGTGATGGACGCGGAAAAGAAAATCCGCAGGTTGAGCTCCGAGCGCGGGGAAAAAATTCCGTCAGGGGGAATACCTTCAACCGGACTTGGGAATGCCTAAAGGAATGCTCCGGAGAGGATTGCGGGGTCATGGCGGAAAATGTGTTCCCGTGTTCTAGATGCCCGGAAACGAGAGCTGCCTCTCTTCTCCAGAACCTCTTCGGGTTAATACCCGCGTTTCAATCACTCTCATCCGTTAACGTCGGGGGAACGGCGAGATCGTCACTCGGCGCGTTGCGTACCGAATTCGAGATGCCGTTTACTTTTCAGGACGCATCGGCAATCCTTTACGGGCCGGATCATCCGTCCCTCGTAAAGCGAGAAGAGCGTCAGGAATCCCGACGCAGCGATCAATTTCAAGGAGAGAGGCTCATGGTATTAATAGGTGCTCCTCGAGTATCCGGAGGTCGAGCTTTCGTGGGAGAGTTTCGACAATTACTCGGCCTAGGGCGAGCTTTTCGTGCGCGGATACCTACAGTACACCAACATCTTGTTGCTGGCCTCCACTTCCGTGTACTGCGTAGAAATTACGCAACGCACGTTGCCGGAAAGCTCGTGTCCTGGCCGAACCAACTTCACTGCCCTGTACATGGTCACGGGGTTGTCGCTCGCCTTGTACTTCTCGTCGATGTACTTCTTAAATTCTTGAGAGGCTTTCGGCTTGTCCCCGTAGATCCACTGGTACAGCAAGTCGTCGCCGATGTACCACTTGATCACCAGGCTGGTGTTCGGGGAGGACCCCATCTCGTACTTGCAGTCCAGGATCACCGGGTCCTCCGTCTCGGCCCTGACCAGCTTCGGAATGCACTCCTCGGTCATGTTTATCCCCAAGATGCCTGCAACGAAACCGAAATCGTTAAATACCTCCAGCTAAAACTAGAACTATTTAATGTGATATGAAAGTGTCGTCAAAAAGGTCTCGTCTAAAGCATAATAAAAGTTTTACTCCGAACTGGGCGTAAGTTTCAAACTTTACCACTCTAATACGGACACTGTAAGGCAGATCCCTTCTTCCATGATATTTCAAGGTTTTAAACATTTTTAGACGTTTAATCAGTTTTTTTATAATAAATGAAATTTCATGAGTGGAGGGACCTTCCTTTTAGCCTCAATATTCACGTTGCAAAGTGTGAAACGATTCTGTATATACAGTTCGGAGAAAAGTTTCATGAGCGATTAATTCCTCGAATGCCACTTTTACATCCTCTTAAATCGCGACTAAGTTTGATAATTAGCCGTTCTCTCTGTCTGGATTTCGCATTTTCACGTTTCGGGTACACCGCCTCTCGGTGAAATATGTACCTCCGGTAAATATCCTCGACACGGTACCGGAAACGCGACATATTTTTGGCGACCCGACAGCTACGAGTTCCATCGCGGGTATATCGGTAGCCGGGATGAAAATTGGATATTCTGGTTGATTCGACGTCCTTGAAGCCTCGGCTTAATTTTCATTTCTGGGGATATGAGAGAGGATACGAGGTTTTGCCTCGAGTGAGGCAGATCGGGCAGATCGCTGGGCTTTGTACCGAAAGAATAAGAACCCGGTGACCCGAAGAAGGGACAGCGGGATCAATACGACGCACAACAGCCCGAGGCTCAACAACGCGGAAGTGCAGACGTATCATCAGCTTCCGCATATCCCGGAAGGACTCGAGCTCCCTTCGGGACCTCCGTTCCCTAGAAAGGACATTTCGTATACGTCCCGGGGATATAGGTGGAGAATTTTCAAATACCTCTCCAGAGAGATGTAAAGCGCTCGAGTTTGGATAAAAATGATTTCCCGGCCAACCTTCCAAGAACTCCCTAACCAACGAATAACGTCTCCATGGTTGATAACGTCCATAACCTCCATCCTAGAAAAATCGTCCCCAATTCCAACCTAGAAAAATCGCCCCCCAAGCCCCGTCCTTCCTTCCAGAGACCGTACGCACGTTGTAACTAATTACTACGAGCACTCGGCTTACTTAGTGTCAGCTTTCCCTGGTATAACGCGAAGCACTTTAGGAACTTCAGAATTACTCATTACAACGTTAACGTCCTCTTTAGCCTCCCCCGGCAATGGCATGTGACACTTACGACGATCTCAGGCTCAGTTTCGTGCAGCATCCCTGGAAGCTGAGACGACCTACGACGCCGCCACCTACGATATCGAGGTTTGGTTGCATCGGATAAGCGAAAGAACGACGAACAGAGAGAATCCCCAGCTAGGGGCGAGGAACAGAGGTTTCGTTATTTTCCGTGCAAGTGCATTCGCGTAACCACCTTTGGGGCGAAGCTCTCAAGGCCGAGAACTAAGAGGCACCTAGTTTGATCCAATTTGAGGGTGGAGGGGAACGAGAGGCATAAGCCACCGGAGAGCCGAAGCTTTGACTTCCCGCAACGTCTCCGAGTATGAAAGGCCAATATCTGAGTCTTCCGTCCCCAAGACTCCCCGCCGGCGGCGTTAAAGGCGGAAGACCTTGGAAAAGGTGGAGGCGTCGAGGCAGAATTCGGTCCCCATCCGACTCGGGGTTCCGGCACTCCGTAATCCGAAAGACATCCGACATCCGATAGGAAAGTATTAACAGGATCCGCCGGTCACTTTGCAAGCCCGGAAGGGATCCGACCGGTCAATTTAATTCCTGATCCAGTTGCAAACTTGCGCGCAAACTTAACAGGAAGTTGGACTCGACGGTGTCCAACATTCGTATGGCCTTCATGCATATTTATAAAGGTAATGGTTTTACCCCCATGCTTGGGGTTCCTTCGCCACGGGGATATCTCCAGGCTGGCATAATGGCTGTTCTCGAAGTTGCGGCCCTTCTTAGTGCCACTGGCTCGTGAGAATATTTCGTCGTCTTAATCAAGACACGTAGGAGGAAGTTAGCCCCGAGGTAATCCCGGGTCAGCGACAACCATCTAAGGCGGCAGGGCGATCATTCGTTCGAGGACGTCGGGGTGATACCTGAGGGATGGTCCCGGGCGCCCCATTACCTTATACCTTGCACCTTATACCCTCCACCTTATACCTTGCACCTTATACCCTGTACCTCACCGTGTCCTCGAAGGAACGGCCACTTTCCAGGTGCGCGTCTCGGATTGGAGCACCGCAATTACGCCCGAGCTTCAATTTGCGTAAGGAGCTTGCGACAAAACAGGGACTTCCGTGTCTAGAAATTTACTCCCTCATTTTCTCCCCGTTTTATATCGTCGACGACCTGAACCAGGTCGGACCTAGATCCCGGCAAGGGATCCCGGGAAACGGTTGCAACATCCGGGAAGGAAGCTCTCATTTTTCCATCGATTTTCCACCGAGAGCTTCCGCAATTTGGCCGAATTCGAGGAGCGCGAATCCGAGGTTCCCGCTCGATGGAAAATCCTCGTTATCCGAAGGAGCGCACGTTAAAGGTCCTAAAGCGGCTCGGAGGCGTCAAGGCGCCGATAAGTCGGAAAATGAGCCATTAAGTCGTTGGTCTCGAGTTTACCCGGTGGAAACACAGGCACGTTAGCAGGAGAGGGAACGAATTCCCCCCTTCTGGGGGCGCAAAACGGACATCCGACAAAGTGGACGCGCGACTGGGAGGAGAATAATTCGTAAAGGGTTCGACCTCCCCGCAATCGATGGAAAGATAGTCTCGAGATTAGGTTGACCGGCGAAGACTGGAATTGGCGCAGTTGGCTGGAGGCCGCACGAAACCGTCCTGAACTGTCCCGCGATTCCTCGGGGTGAAGCCGACCCCCCGCGACGCGGGCTTAATTTGTAACCGATACTCTATAATACTCCATAATAAACCGAACAAAGGTCGAGGCACGTCGGACTCGAGAAGAAGACGCCGCCGATGCGTGGCCCCCGGGAAACGATAATAAACGTATCGATTTACCCTCCGGCGGGACTCTTCGACCCATCGATTGGCCCCTGCGAGAGAAAAATGACTATGCCCGGTCCTAAGGTGTATTGACCTCCGGTTAACCGTGCACCTCCACCTTCGTGCTGTGACTTTTAACGGGAAAGGCGCTACTTAATTACGGGTGACGTGCAAGTGGGTCCTATGTCCTGTCACGACACCGAGCGATCGTGATCGCGACGTCGCCCCCTCCCCCCGACTTCCCGCCCCCGATCGATACCGAATTAAGCTATTACACACCTCGCCGCGCGATGTGCGACACGCCAACTCCACGCCACGGATCGAAAAGAGTTGCCCGACCATTACGCCACGGGGGAACCGGATCCGTCCTATTTCCCCCTTCGACTTTCCGCAGCGACCGATCCCCCCGATGGATCAAAGGAAATCTTTCCAGGAATGTCGTGCCCGCCGAGGGGAGGAGCCACGTCTGGCAGTCGGTCGATTACTGGAATCGTTCGTTAGGTAGCTAAGGTTCGCCTCGAGATACTCGAACTCGATTCGATAAATTCCACCTCGTCGTGGATCTCCAGGTTTCCACATGGAGGCTCATGAAATATTCCCCGTTTCTGCGGATGTCTTTTTCTCGCTTCCTGCGTCACTTCCTTAAACGGGATAGCTCGTTCGGTCGGGTGTTCAAACGATAAAATGGAATATAAATCGATTCAAATGGAAATGATTGTAATCAGGGGTTTTGCGACGACTTGGGGGGGGGGGGGGGGAAAGAGGAGCTGGTGCGCCTGGAACGTGCAATGGCCACACCATGTGGCTTTATGTCTCTGTTCGATGGATTTTGAACGGTTGAAAAAAATTACCAGGTGGGGCTGAAGAAACGCTGCGGGATTTTTATGCCGCTGGAAAGTGAGGAAAATATTCGTGACGATCGCAGTTGCCCACTCACCGTTCGTTTACGTTTCTGGTAACATATTCCAAAGGTTCGCGTGACCAGTCGGTCATCCTGCCTGTACTCGCCTGTACTCGTGCATACATTAATTCAGGAGTGAGGGGCGTAATGGGAATTAAATTTAAAAATTGAACGTACCTGATCGCGAGCCTAAAAATTAATGAGGGACATAGAACCGCTTGGGCGAAGAGTTCCTTGGAAGATCGAGGTTAGAGAGGGTCTGGGATATTAGATGTTTAAGAGACGCTCCCAGGAAGATCGGAGACGCTTCAAAGCACCAAGCTGACGTTAAGCAAAGAAGGCTTCCAGGGACAAACAAGAAGACCCGCTATTACGATATGATTAAGCGAAGCTATGCTCGCGGTGCGCCGGCACCTCGTCCAGATAATCCAAGGGTTTACTCGAGCTAAACGTAGCTCCCGTACTTTGAATTCCCGGCAAGCGGTCGAAAGCTTTACAAAAGATCCCGGGACTCCGTAATCGGCGCACGCACGATCCCCGCTCGAGTTTTCCGTGTAAACGGGCAGAAAGAAAAAGGAAAACTTCCGGCCTCTTAGCCTCACCCGGGAGCAGCTATGGCGGCCAAGCGCGAGAGAAACCGCTCGGATTCTCGACCAACCTCTGAGGACGATCGCCAAAAACCATCGCTTCATCTGCGATTGCAGTTTAAAACTTCCGGGTCAAAGGGTAAAAAAGGCCGAAAGAGAAAAGAAAAAAAAATTGCTTCGGTCTCTTGGTCTCAAAGCGAGATGAAACCGCTCGAACCTGGACCAACTCCTGAGGTTGGTCCCCAAAAATCATAGCTATACCTTCGCAGTCCAGAACTATAGGGTAAAAGAGTGAAAAAGGTCGAACGAGGAAAGAAAGAAAAATACATTGATCTCTAAAGCGACCCTGGCAGTCTAGGAAGAATGAAACGGCTCGGATTCTGGACCAACCCCTGAGGTGGATCCCCGAAAAATAATGCTATATACCGGATCGCAGCTCGAAGCTCCCATATAGAGGGTCAAAAAGGCCGAACGAGGAAGGAAAGAAAAATGTTCTGATC